CATATTGTGCGCGATACTACCAGGGATGTGGTTGGGATCGAACTCGGAACCTCTTGCTTATGAAGCAAGTGTTTTACCACTACACCACTACCACATGTAATATATATTATACTTATATATATATATATTATATATATATATATATATATATATATATATATATATATATATATATATATATATATATATATATATATACCTTGTTGGTCAAGGTTCGTGTTTTGGAGTTTTAATTTTACAAGATAAACCTATCCAATATACATGTGAATATGTAAATGTCCAACACCAATTAAATTTTTGAGATGCTTGCATTTCAACTAATCAATCCCTACACAAGAATGAGATTTCCAAACACTGTAAGGATGCAATTGCAAATGTACTTATAAACCCAAAATCATCTATTTCACAGAGTATTGCAGTTGGTAATTTAGCTAGAGCATATAAAATTTGTCTAAACATAACATTCAAGAAGAAATCAATTTTTTATTAAGATTTTTACTGTAAAGGAACATTCTATAAACAATATTCAGATATTATTAAAAAATATAAATACTCAACAAATCCATTTTATTCTCAAAAAATTGATACCAAAAATCTAGTTATTTTACCATGGGTCTGAAAATTAGGCCTTTTTCTTGGAAGTGAATTTCTTAAAGTTGGCGTTAAAACATTTTTTTTTTTTTTGGTAATCACTTCAACATACTTTGCTCTAATAAGTCTAAACTACCTCTGAATAATCATTCAGGAGTGTACCAGCTTGATTACACATGTGGTGCATGTTATATTGGTGAAACAAGAAAAAAGATTTCCACAAGATTTCTGTAGCATAAAAGTAATGTTACAAAAGCCAACCCTAAAAGGCTTTCTGTTGTTTCAAACAACTACACAAGAAAATATATATATATATATATATATATATATATATATATATATATATATATATATATATATATATATATATATATATATATATATATATATATATATATATATATATATATATATATATGTATTTGTATATATATATATAAATATTTTACATATATGTATATATTTATATGTGTATATATATATATATATATATATATATATATATATATATATATATATACATGTATGCATACATACATACATACAAACATACTTGTATAAATATATATCTATATATATACATACATGCCTTCCCAAAAAGCGCATGCGGTCGCATACTTGTTGGTCCATGTTTAAAGTAATATTTTTAGGCACTGACCACAGAAGTTTGCATCTTTTAATTTTTTAACCGTTTCAATAATTTGCAGCATAAAGCTGAACTTATCTACTGAGAAAAAAAAACAATTTTAAAAAAAGTAAATAAAATTGTAACAAATATCAAATTTTAACTAATTGATAATTAATAATTTGAAAAAAAAAATTTGAAAAGAAAAATTTTTTTTATAAAATTTTTATACAACTTTTGTATTCTTTTTTTAGGGTGGTTGTTATTTTTAGCTTTCAAATTTGATACAAGTTGAGGGAAAAAAATTATATTTTATAACAATTTAGCAACAATTGAAAGTTTTGATATGCAATTTATTCACAATTTTTATCAGCCTGTATAATTAAGAAACCAATTTGCTATTTACACTAGAACAATGAGAAATTTTTTTAATTTTTTTTCTTCCTTTTATTCGTTTTTATGTCTTTTCGCTTTTAAAAATGCAATACTTATATTATAAGAAAATTTGTTTGCTATTTATTTTTAAAATATATTATTTGATTAATAAGTTTTGTAATGACAGAAAAACTTAATAAAAGAATTGTTGCATGGTTTCTTTTATAAATGTGTTTACAACATTTGACGCCTGTCTGAAAATGTTGCCTTTATAATGCCCAATTTCTAATGTTAATACAAAATACTAGAGATAACGAACATGAAATTGCTCTGTTTTAAACAATATATTTAAAAACTTAAAAAAAGGTTTTAAATAGGCTTTTAAAATTTTATTAAAAAAGTTGGGTTGCACAATTTGGAGGATCCAATGAAAGTGCAGACTATTTCAATGGAGGTAGTGAAAACAATCAAATATTTTATATTTGAATATTAGTCATGAAAAACTTCTTTAAAAAAAATGTTTTTTTTACAAATAAATAGCAATTAATTTTTTCACTTTCCTGAGTATTGATAAAAACAGTTAAGTTGTGTATTGATAAAAACAGTAATATTTATCAAAAAGATTTGAAAAATAAATTTCAAAGTTATCCATATTTCTAGCGCAAATAATAAAGTGTTTTTTTTTTTTGCCGCTAATTCTTAAAACTATATAAACTATATAAAAATGTGATAGAGTTGTCTAAAAAAATTACTTTAAATGTGGACAATCAATGCGTGGGACTACAAGAAGGCTTATACATACATACATACATACATACATACATACATACATACATACATACATACATACATACATACATACATACATACATGTATTGTACATACATACATACATATGTCATATACTATTATCATAGAACCATATCTTATTATACAGGAGGAGGGGGGGGGGTTTAAGTCCGGATCTATTAAACAGGTGGGGGGGGGGGTTCATGTCTCAATTTAAGTATTTTTTTTACAAAAAAACTTCAATTTATAAATCCAAACTAATATTTTTTACAAAACACAAATATTTGATTCTAGCGTTGCTTGCAGCTAAATGCATATTTTCTAACAGCTGTTTTATCATAATTTTAATAGAGTTTGTTATGCTCATATAAGTTTTATTCTTTGGTGAGAAATAAACCATAAGCTAATTTTTTTAACAAATCGAAATTTACTGGGTTGACAATTTTTAAAGCCTGTTTACACTGAAAGTTTTTATTTTTATTGGTGGCTAAATAATTATTTTAAAGGCCGATTGTTAATGATTTTTTTTAATATTGAGATATTTTCGTAGATAACAAGTAAAAATTAATAAACAAGGGGGTCTTAACAAGCTTATAGTGGGTGGCAAAAATTTCCAAAAATTATTAAACATTTACCATCAACATCAATTCTGAATGAATACAGAGAGGAACACAAAAGTAGTAATGAATCAGTAAGTGACAGTGGCAGTGATTATAAACCTTCAATAAATATTAATAAGCAAAAAATTTAACACAAGACAGTCAAGGCTGTTAAATTGGTTTTTCAAGCAAAGCTAAGTACACAAAAAGCTGCCACAGTGTTTCAACAACTTCAGATGGCTGGTGTCAATATTCCTGCACCAACTCAACTAGCAATCTATATGGCATTCTATATGTCGATATTCCTGCACCAACTCAACCAACAATCTATATATCAGAAAAAAAAAGTTACGAGATAAATTGAGTAAAGAACTGAAGGTCGAGAATTGGTGTTTGTCTTTTGATGGAAAAAAGATAGCTGGAATGGAACATCAAGTAGTCGTGATAAAGAGCAATTAAAAAGAAATTAGGCCAAAATATGGTATTGAAGAATGGAAAGTCAGAGATAATTTTTCAAGGACTTAAAGAACTTTTAAATTTATATGATTTATGGGGGTCTATAAAAATGATTGTGATAGACACTGTAAATGTTAACACTGGGAAAACAAGTGGTGCGATAAAGAGAGTAATGACACATTTTGAAAGTGTTGGCTTTCAGAAACCTCTCTATGTTGGTTGTCAACACCATATAAGTTATGTCTGGATAACTTTTTTGGAGGTTATACCAATTCACTTGAACTATCATTTTATTTTGTTGAACCAATATGTAGTAAATATGACTATTTAATATTGAACTTTGACAATAGTGGTATACAATTGAAGGAGAATGCACTGAAATAGAGAGATGACATGCAGTTTTTGAAGCATCAGGTTAATTTTAAACGTTTACCAAATATTAGTCAATCTAGATGGAACTCCTAAGCAATTTATATACTACTTGCTTACATACTTATTCCTTCAGATAGACAATGACTCAAGATAGCATTTGTATTTGAAATATTTATTGAAAATCACAATTAAAGCAAATGCAAACTTTTTTAGTTAGTGTAGTTTTATCAATATATTTTTTTAAATATTTTGATGTTCTGTTAATTTTATCAATACAACTTTATTTATGCGATATATATCTTTATTACTTATTTGAACATAACTTATTATTTTAAGACAAAGCGGAAAACATTTTACTTCAAATTACCAGTAAAGAATTTCTAGGCGTATTTGTAATGTGATTAATAGCTTTTGTCTTGGCTTTCTAGTGGGTCAGTGTATGAGTTTTTTTTTGAAACAATATAAAGAAACTAAGTTCTCTTAATTATTTACAAAAACTTATTAGAATATGACATGCTCATTGAGTTTGTAAAATTATTATACCCTAATATATATATATATATATATATATATATATATATATATATATATATATATATATATATATATATATATATATATACATATATATATATATATATATATATATATATATATATATATATATATATATATATATATATATATATATATATATAAAAGGACCCTGTAAATATTTAAGGGTCTTGGGGTACTTCTAAAAATTATATAAATGTTATTGCTAATTTTAATTTAAAACAAAATTTTAAATTTGAAGAAAATGATTTATTGTAAAATTTTGAGTATCAAAAGAATGGAAAGCAGGTATTGAAAAAAATACTAAACTTTCAATATTGAAATTAAACAAATTTTATGTATAGTTCTAGTAAATATATTTTTGTTGTTATTGTATTGATGGACTGAAGTTTTGAAAAAAAAAATTTATATTTTGCAAAGAGTAATTTTTTTCTTTTTTTATATGCTTTTAGTTGAATTAGTGATGTTTTCAGTATGCTCAGTTAACAAGCATAAATTTAGATATTTGTTTTAAATGACTAAATAAAATAGAAGCAAATGTTAGTTCTATTTGTATATTGTTATATTTGTCAATAAACTATTAAAGTTAAACGTATATAGATAAAACTATTACAAATAAAAATAATGGTAATAATTTGTGATTATTTCAGATAAAATAGTAGTTAAAAAACTAATAAAAGTTAATTTGTAAATAAAAATGGGTCCTCCACGTCAGCAAATACCAACAATAGAAAACAATCAACCTTTAAATGATGAAGCACTTAGTTTAGACACAATTGATGGTTGTCCTCAGCCATTTAACAATGGTGGTATTCAACTTAGAAATCAACCACCCAGCAATATTGTTGCTAATGTGAATAATTCATCAAATCAAGTTATTGAATCAACTCCACAAGTTTTGGCTCAAATTGTTGTTAATGAATTGGAAATTGATAATATTCCAGTTCCAGAAGAACTTCAAAACATGTCTAGAAATAGCAATGTTGAGTATGTAAATTTTAATTTTTTTTTTATCTATATTACTATAAATTTACTTATATATATATTTTTAAAGTTTTAAAAATATGCAAAAGCACAAGTTTTTTTTTTCCAGTTAATTTAGATCTAATTAGTTAATTTAGAAAAGATGAGACAATAAATGTGATTTTAACTAATAGCTTATAACCACTGAAAAATGTAACGTTAAAGAAAAATATTGTTGACAAAACGCCCAAAGGAACAATTGTGAAGACTGTATAGTACAAACCACAACAAACTGACTTACAGGCTTGGTCGGGAAGCGGGAACAATTGCACTCTATTGCTGACCATGTAAATACTATATAGTTACGAAAAGCTGGCCAGATTTTTTAGTTGTTTTGAGAACATTTAAAAAAGCAACAAAAAAAAAAGCAACAAAAATTAATTGGACCAATGAGAAACAATTACAAAAAAAAAAAAGTAAGCAAATAAAATATCTTTAAACGCGAAAAAACTTGCATTTAGATTTAGCTAAATAAATTACATTTAGAACAAATATTTTCGAAACATCACTTTTTTATATTTTTTTTATAAAATTAAGCAATGTTTTTTTATATTAAGTAACAACTTACGATTGTTTAAAAGGGAAACAAATATTCTTTATTTAACTAAGTTTGCAAATTTTAGTTTTACTTAAGCTTAATTTATTTTATAAATAAAAAAGTTAATTTTTTTGATACCTATTTTATGTTTCGCGTAGTTTGAAAAGTAACATATTTGAAGCGATTCTTCTTAGTAAGATGAAATAATTAAATCATTGAATTACTATAGGAATTAAATTATCAAGATAGAAATCAACTAAAAAGGTTAAAAATATGACGAGGAAGCAAAACTGCTTCACAATATCGCTGATGATGTTTAGCGAGTGGGCTTTTTAATTAGTAATTAAAGCAGAAAAAAGTGTAACGAGTTTTTTAGAATGGCAAATGAAGCGAAATATTTAGAGTTAGTAAACCAATATCTAGAAACTTTTCTTTATACCTAATTATTTGCTATTATATATTTGTGTTCTGTCGTGACCTTAGGCGCGATGCTTGTTCATCCACGAGTTTGTATGTGTTGTTTGTGTTTAGTAACCAGAAACTTCTTATATGTTTGTTACATAATTAGTTTTATTAACTTTAACGATTATAACTTCATTGAAAACGCAATTATTTTTGTAAGTCTTTGTTTAAATCATAAAAATTGCTTTAAAAGATACATTACGATATAAAACAAATACACAAAATTACATTTACATAAAGAATACAATCTCTTTTAAAATAAAAAATAAGTATATACTAATAAAATCTATGATTTATAATAAACTTTTAAAATTTTAACAATTTAATATATATTTAAAACATTTATTTTCGTAAACAAATAATATATATTCTTAAAACAACGCTAGAAATCTCAAAACGTAACAAATTGTGAATAATATAATTTTTAAAACATTTTAACAGAATACTCTAGAACTTTATATTCTTTTTATTCTTTCGCACAAAAATGTTTTGAGAACATTCTAGTTTTTTATGTTTCCATGAATGTCCGTAAAACAAAAATTCTTTGTTTCGTACATAAATTTAAATGTTCTCAAAACGACTAAAAAATCTGGCCAGTTTTACGCAACTAAATATAATTTCCGTGGTCAGCATTCGAGAGCGATCGCTCCCGCTTCCAGACCAAGCCTGACTTAGCGACGTCAGATTGAGAAAATTAGATAGAAACAAAAAACCTAATGAGATCGTGATAAGTCTAAACTTATCTAGTAGAATTGTTCAGTATATTCCAACCGAGAATACATTTGTTTAATTTATTTAAACAAATTTAATTTAGTTAATTTTTCAAATAGTTATTTTTCAACAGTCTTTTGTAATAGCATATAAAAAAAGTTTCAACTCATTAAAATGTTTGCCTCGGACCTCTTGGTTTTTTATATGTATATATATATTATAAATATATATATTATAAATATATATATATATATATATATATATATATATATATATATATATATATATATATATATATATATATATATATATATATATATATATATACATATATACATATATATATATAAATATATATATATGTATATATATATATATATATATATATATATATATATATATATATATATACATATATATATATATATATATATATATATATATATATATATATATATATATATATATATATATATACATATATACATATATACATATATACATATATACATATATATATATATATAAATATATATATATATATATATATATATATATATATATATATTATTTATATATTATACATGTATTATATATATATATATATATATATATATATATATATATATATATATATATATATATATATATATATATATATATATATATATATATAGGCCTCGGCAGGAATGGCGGGCTATTTCACTCTATGCCTGACCAAGTATTTAACATTTTGTTGCGACAGTTTAACCATGGTTTTTTGAAGTTAATTAACACAAATGTGACTTTACTTAAAAAAGATATTTACATCAGTAAAAGTTTAATTACGCCAGTTGCGTATTTTATAATACCTCATTGTAATTAAATTTTAAACCACATTAAAACTTGTTGTAAGTCTTTATCTTTATGAAATTAAACAATATTGTTGTAAAAAAAATCATAAATAAAATTTAAATGTTGTTTAAAAAAAAGTTTTCATATTTTAAAATCTTATACTTATTAAAACTTATTTTTTTCTTTTTTAAAACATTCATTTTATAGTTATTTTTTAAAATGGATTTAAATGTACTTACAGCAACGATTATTCAACTACACATTAGTATAATTAGATAGGGTTTTCCCCTTTATAAAAAAATGTTCGCGCCACCAAAAATATTTTAATTCAACTGGTTTTTGACAAATAAAAATTGTAAGCAAACAAAGATTATCGCTTTTCTGTTTTTTTAAATTTCCATTCTTTTTTTATTTCCTTTAAAGTTTATTGTTTTCATTTACCGGGAAACCAAATATATTTTCACTACTTGTTTTTAACAAATATCAGTATAATTTTGAAATTTACATATCTTATATTTATAGCACTAGTATTAGTTTTGGGATATTCCATATGAATTTATCCAGACTATGGACAGCCTTACGTCTCAAAATTTGTTTATTTTTACACCACTTGCAGTCCATAATAAAAAAATTATAACTGCGAAAATTTTAGTCAATGGGTTCTAGAGATATTATCAGCAAACATACACAGCAACTTTGAAATATAGTATCTTCATAACGGCTTGGGGAAATTTCCTAAAATTTGGTACCCTAATAGGTTTTTACTTGAGGAATCCAAAAATAGCATTCTCAAGACTCGATTGTCTCAAGAAATGCCTCGTTTATCCAATTTTGTTCAAAATTATTGACTTGTAAATTAATAATTTTTGGAGGTAAAATGAAGACTGTGGCCCAAAATCCAGAGTAAAAAGTTTAATTGTATATCATTATTTCATCATAGGTCTACTGAAAAAAAAAAAGATTTAATAATTGTCTCTCTAATACTTGATCAAAGTTTGTATATGGGGGAGGAGGGCTCCTCCCCCATATACCCAGATTTTTTATTTTTTTTATTTTTACATAAATAAATAAATAATAAAAAATTATCAAATTACAATTTAAAAACATATTTTTTTAAATTTAAGTTTGAGAAACATTTTATTTTAGTTATTTCAAATTGATAAATACTTCTTATTTTCTTATTTCTCTTATAAATACTTACTTCTTATTTTCAAGATCTTTTCACGATTTAAAAAGTTATTAATTTTAAAACAAAAAATATTGAAATGTTTTTCAAACATTTTAACAATCAATATCTTTATGGTATTATTTAGTAGTTCAAGACTAATATAGTCAATGGCATAATAGGTGGAGATTAAGATTGATTTAAACCCACCCCCACCTTCTCAGCCTACAATTCAAGGATTTGAAAAAAAGAAAAAAGATAAATTTTAAATGCAAAATAGGTAAATAAAATAAAAACAAAATTATTTTAAATGTAATTAATTTTTTTTTGTAACCAACAGCTTATATTCTCTAAATCTAAATTCTGATTTAGATTTAGAGAATATAATGTTGCACGTATGTCCTGATATTGTTGTGGGTGTAGAAATTAGACATAACTTCAGAATTGAGCACCCAACACTCATCATTTCTCATTTACCAAAAGAAGTTTTTACCTGGTCCATCTGACTTTTATATCAAGGTCACTTAGATCTTCAGCAATCCCTACCCACTGAAATAAAACCTCATAAAAACATGCAATATAATCCATTTTTTTAATGTTCAATGAAATCTCTAGATTATGTTTGCTTTTTTGAATGATATCAAAAATTTCAGTGCATGTATCAATATTTGTTTTTTTAAAATTCATAGTGTTAGAAGCAATTGGAATAAAATATTGATACATCTTTGTGCCAGGAACAGTTCTTTCACTTGAATATCTTTTTTCTAATTGTAATCGTGTTCGGTTGATTTCTTCTTTTGAAAATAACTTAAAACAAATTCCATTTATTTTGGCTTTACAAAAGGAGTACATTAAATTAACATCTAAAATCTGCCCAGTAGTTGTTAGTTTCAGACTTTCCTGACACTACTCTTTTAACAGTTCCACCAATGCCATCACAAGGGGATTTACCATGACTGGTAGCAAAAAATATCCATTCAGCATTTAAATCAAAGTCTTTACTGTGATGACAAAGATTGATAAAATTTTATAGATTTTTAAATTGTGCTGCACAACCATCCGAAAAGTATTTCACACTTAATACATCAGGTAGATTTTCTTTGATATATCTAGTTATATCTTCCTGAGTTTTGTAAATAAATCCTGTATCATGGTCAACATCTTCTGAAAGCTAACAAAAAGATTTATGTTTGAGAAGTTTATTCTCTATAAAATAAAGTACAATTGTATAAAGTGAACATTGACTTTTGCTCC